CAAAAATGGGCAAAGGACCTGAATAAACATTTTTCCAAAGAAAACATACAGATGGGCAACATGTACATGAAAAGGTGCTCAATGTCAGTAATCATTGGGAAAATGCAAATCAAAACCACAATGAGATATCACCTCACCCCTGTTTAATGCTAGTATCCAAAAGACGAGATCACAAGTGTTGGTGAGGATGTAGTTAAAAGGAAACCTTTTACGCTAGTCTGGGAATTTCTACAGCCATTTTAGAAGACAATATGAGATTTTCTCAAAACTTAAAAAAATAGGGACTTCCTTAGTGGTCCAGTGGTTCATACTCCGTGCTCTCAATGCAGGGGGCCCAGGTTCAATCCCTGGTCAGGGAACTAGATCCCACATGCCACAACTAAAGATCCCGCATGCCACAGTGAAGATCCCGCACACGGCAACAAAGATCCCGCGTGCTGCAACTAACACCCAGTGCAGCCAAATAGATGATATAGATAGATAGATAGATAGATAGGAAGAAAGATACAATAAGGAACCTTAAAAATAGAACTACTGTGTAATCCAGGAAATCTGCTTCTGGGAATATTTCTGACGGAAATGAAATCAGTATCTCAAAGAAATATCTTAACACCCGTGTTTCTTGCAGTGTCACAACAGCCAAGATACAGAAATAACCTAAGTGTCAGTCATCAGATGAATGGATAAAGCAAATATGGTATATATATCTAGGGGAATGTTATTTATCCATTAAAAAGAAAGATTCTGCCATTTGCAACAACATAGATGAACCTGAGGGCATTATGCTAAGTGAAATAAGCCAAACAGTGAAAGGCTACTTTATGGTATCACTTAACTGTGGAAGGAAAAATTTAAAAAGTTAAGTTCATGAAAACATTAGAATGGTGGTTGTCGGGATGGGGGAAATGGTAAAGGTTGGTGAAAGGGTACAAACTTCTAATTATAAGATGAATAAATTATGAGGAACTAATGTACAATATGGTGACTATAAGACCATAGTTTATAATATTTATTGTTTAGTTGCAATTTGCCATGAGAATTGATCTTAAGTGTTCTCACACATACACACAAAGAGGGTAACTGTGAGGTGATGGGTGTGTTAAGTAACTTGATTGTAGTAATCAGGTCATAATGCATACATTTATCAAATCAGCAGGTGATACACTTTAAATATATATAATTTTATTTGTCAATTATACTTCAATAAAAATGGAATAATGTAAGATTAGGTATAAAATTAAAAGCTAATAAAATAAAAAATAAATATGCCTTCCTCAGTGGCTGGGCTGCTTTTTTGATATGCCTCTTGTCGATAGTCTCAGGCAACCTCTTTAAATCTTAAACTGTCAGTACTTTTTAGTTCAGTTTGGTTGGTTTTTGACAGTACAACCCTAAAAAATATAGTTGGGTTTATATCTTTGATTTCAGCCAGTTTGAGCTTTTTGAGACATACCTTTCTTTTTTTCATTTTTGGTATTCATGTATCTATATATTTTTTAGACTGTAAGTTTTTGTTTTTTTCTTAAGTATTTCATCCTTAGTCTGTGCCATTTTGTGCAGCAGAAGGGATTTATTGTGGGCCAGCTCAAGCCATTCTTAAGTTTTAACAGTGACTGTCATAGTTATATTCTTCATTTGTTACTTGCCATACAGTTCAGTATAATTACTTTTGATTCCTAAAGTATTTCTCATTGTATTTTTTTCTGTAAGAACTGAAAGAGGCAACTTTTTCTGCCTTAACACAATAAAAGCTAAAGAAATGTTTTGAGAGTTTTCCTACTCTACAAGACCCCAAATTTCTAGCTTCTGCTTATTTTCTTTCATCCCTCCTTGCAATCTGTTTTTTTTGTTTTTCCTCCCCTTAGCTCATCATTTTCCTATATTGCTTTATCAGAAGCGGTGACTAGTAGTTGAGATTTACTACTAACATTTTGATTTCCTGCCTCTTTTTCTAAGATTTTAAGTCCATGAGGTAAACATTATTTGATTTAAGAAGTATGACTCATGTGGCTTAAGTAACAGTAAGTATATAACTACCAGTTATCTTAGGTAACACCATGGTCCATTATAACACCATCCTCACAGTTTCTTTGCACTACTTGTTGCCATTGTTGGTGTTTGTTTCTGTTTGGTTTGGTGCCAGTTCAGTTACCAGTTCAGTCAGGAAGAAAGGTTTCTTTCTCAGTGCTATTACCTGTCCTTCATGGGTCAGCTTTAGTTTTGTTCCTTTCAGCATCATGCAGCATCCCGGACAGAGGAGTATTTCTTTCTGTCATATTGCTGAGGATGAACATGGTAAAGGGGAAATATGGTGATCATTGTGTGACTCTTAAATAGGTTCTGTTTAGGAGTGATGCTTCCATTCACATGTCATTGGTCAAAGCAAGACAGGTGGGGAATTACAAATCTGTTTATATGTGAGTTCCAGCGCAAGGGGATATATACATCCTTTTACAGAGAAAGGCACTGCAAGGAGTGCTATGAACTGAATTATATTCCCCCCAAATATATATGCTGTAGCCTTAACTCCCAATGCATTTAATCAAGTTTAAATGAGGTCGTAGGGTGGGGCCGTTACTCCAATAGAATTAGTGGCCCTATAAGAAAAGGAAGAGAAAGATCTTTTCCTTCCTTCTCCCTCCCTCCCTGCCATATATGGATTCAGCAGAAACACAGCCATCTGCAAGCTAGGAATGGAGCCCTTACCAGGAAATGAATTGGCTGGCACCTTGATCTTAGACTAGAATTGTAAGAAAAGAGTTTTCTGTTGTTTAAGCCACCCAGTCTATGGCACTGAATTTAGCTGGACGGAAATATAACCTACCACATGTTTATTCTTAATTTTCCACATGAACTTTAAAATCAGCTTGCCATGATGTGTACTACTCATTCGCGTCTGTGAACATGGTGTGTCTTTTCATTTGTTTAGTTCTTTTTTGTATCCTTCAGGGTTTTTTCCCCGCCTCATAAATTTTGTACATTATTTTGTTAAATGTATTGCTAGGTGTTTTGTCTTCTTGTTATTGTGGTTGTGTGAGTATCATGTATATGAAGGTTTATATAAAAGCCTTATATTAGTTATATAAGCTACTAACTTATTAAATCTTCCTATGTGGAGTACTTGGATGTACTTGGATGTCATGTGATTCTCTTCAGTTTTCCAAGTATGAATTATATGGAAACCATCATCATTTTCAGTGCTGTTTTTCTCTCTTTAATTGTGTTGACTGACACTACTAGTACAGTGTTAATAACTATGGTGATGAAGCATCCTTGCTCTGCATGTTTCCCCATAAGTGTGATGCTGGCTTTCACTTGTGGCTAAGACATACACGTTTATCATGTTAAGGAAAAATCCCGTGAATCCTCTTTTAAGTTTTTTTATTACAAATGAGAGGGTATTTTTATAGATGTCTACTTAGCATCTAGAATTTTCTCCACTGAACTACAAATATTAATAGATTTCTTAATATTGAGGCTTTCTCTATTCCTAGAATAATTAAAAATTTCTTCTCCATTGTCATGGTCTGTTTTTCTTTCTCTGTCAGTAAATATCAGTGTTTCCTAAAACACCATACTTGTTCATTTTCTCCTTTCAATCTCTTAGGTTCTCTTTGAGCAATTTTATTCACTCTGATGGCTTCAGCTACCACTAAAATATTGCTGTTTCCTAAATCCTTTTCTTCATCTTGTATCTCTCTCCTGAGCTCAAGAGCATATATCCATTTGCCAGTTGCACATCTTCACATATTTGACCACAGAAATTTCAGACTTCAGACATGCTATGTCCAAGATCTGTGTCTCTTCTGCAAATCCTATTCTTTGTCCTTATCCCAATATCAGTTTATAGCGCTAGTATCTACCAGCTTGTCGTGCAGACAGCCTGGTAGTAAAGCTTTCCCTTTACCTTCTCAGAGCAAATGAGTACCAAATTCTTTTTCTTTTTTTCTGTTTTGGAATTAGTCCCCTGTTCTGTATTCATCTTCCTCTGTTACCTCTGTTACCTAGTATAGTTGGTCATTTCTCCCTCTGTTTTTTTCTCCTCTGATTCTCCCTTAAGCCCTTCTCCATTCTCCTGCTGA